CGACATAGTAAATCTGTTTTTATGCATCCTGTGATTCCTTCTGTGTGGCAACTGTTAATTTTCAGACCTGAGGTTGCTGAATTTTTGGTTTGTTTTTTTCAGTTCATGTATAAATGTGCGATTTTGCTGATTAAAATGGATGCCTACAGGTCTATATTACAAATGCTTTTCTGCAGTATTTGCCTATTGTATATAAGTATACTACATAATTTGTCATTTGAATTTGCATACTGAAGACTAATGACTGTGACTCCAAAGAATGAATTTTCTCCCTGGAAATAAGGACAGAATTTCAATTCAAAGCAGAAATATTGGGGGTGAGGGAAATCTTTCTTGAGGATTTCAATGCAAACCATGATATTCAAGGCTGTCATGCTCACTTCAAAAGTTAAAATAAAAGCCTCCACAAAAGACTGCCTTGACAAAGCAATCAGATTGTTTCCGCAAACAGCAATCTAGAAATTTACAGACATCTGTATTATAATATTTTAATTGGCAGTGGGTGGCATTTATAATTTTAGTCAGTGATTAACGTTTCAATAATGATGGTTGAACATATCAGTACCACATCCACAGTGGATTTTCAACATTTGATTGCATTTTAGTCTTGAATAATTAGTTTTCTGCTATGAAAGTAAGTTAACCATGTGTGATGGATTTTTTTGGGTTCATAAATATTTGTTACTGGAGACTAAACTTAAATTTCTTTCTGAATTGACTTTTATGTCTGTGCATTTGGTTTTGCGATGATCTATGGTCATTGGGAGCAGATATAAGATTGGTAGTTAAAATTCACATAATTCAAAAGTTGTTCTTCCAGTAACTATATTATTAATAATACTTTGTGGTAACTTCTGATAAGTTGTTATCTGACTGCCTATATCATTTCCTTATGTGCCACTAGAAATCACATCTCTTAAATAGGCTATTTCGCATCATTTGTAGTTTATTTGTAGGATTACTATTTTTTATGGTAGAAAGTTGTAAATACAATACTTAAATTACCATTTCTATAATGTTTAATATTAAAAATGGCAAGGACCTTAACTTTATGCTTATTATAAGATTATTAGCTAATGACAAGTAAATCATTTAGATACCTTTTTTATAATTACATGCACATTAAACTATCTGATACCACTGAGTGGAATAAACCCATCTTGAACATTATCAAAGAAGATTTAACTAATTTCTGTACTGCAAAAAAAATTGTTTTAAAACAACTTGTACAGACTACCCTATAGTACACACCCTAAGGGCATAAAAGAGACATTCCATTTTACTTTTTGTTTATAAATAAGTCTAGGGTTAAATTTCTAGTACTTAAATTTCTCTAGTGAGGAATAGCATGTCCTCTTTTGTCATTGCTGTTATTATTTTATGTCTCAGTCTTCAGATTAAACTTTCGTGTTTTTATTTCACCTCTCAAAAGTACATCTGGGCTGCAATACACCAAGTATTGAGTCTCCATAACATGGAAAGATCATTTCTTCTCCAATAATTTCTTTCACAGAAATAAAGATTTCTGGTCTGTTTTCCCCTTAACTTTCAGTAGGAAAGCACCAACATTAAATGTAGTATTTTTGACAGTGAAATATATAAACCAAGATTTAAGAAATATATCTTTGTAGAAACTGGTACCTTTCTGCTCATTAACATATACTAATCACAACTTAATCTGACCCTTAAATCTTAACTTCAGTACTAATTTTTAAGTTCATTTATAATATATTAAATTCTTACCATTGTGTGAGGCCCTTTTGAATTTTACACATAGATTTGGGGTTGGGGCAACTTGATAGCAAATACTTGATTAAAATTTTTTCTTTCCACTTCCAGGTAAAGTGGGATATCTTGCTTTGCCAGGAGCTTTCTTTATTTAAAAATATTTGTCCTATTAATCTTTCTAACTTCTCCTGTCATTTTACACAGGAAGAGACTGCTGAGGGTGGAAGCTGAATATACTATTACTTCTCTTTCTTATCTCCTGAATTTAACTTTTTCCATTTCTTTCAGCATAAATTAAAGCCAGGAAGGGAGGGCAGACCAGAGTATCGTGCAGCTCTAATCCCACATCCCACTCAAACCTGTGGGAAAGAAACAGACTTTCCCTACTCTTCCTTAGTCTGATTCTGTATCCTTCTCTTTTGTAGATCCCAAGTTAAGTTTCTCTTTTCCCACATTTTACTAGCACCCCCCCTTTTAGACTTTGTTGGCACAGGAAACCCTCTCAAGTGCAGTGCAGTCCTGGAGGGGGTTTCAGGACACAAACTAAGTACAACTGTAAACAGAGAACCTCTAATTTATTTTAGATACTGGTCAGCAAGGCAAGACTTAAAATATTAATTTCTCAAGGCATTTCCATGATTCCATTCTTCTCTTTGATCCAAAGATCCTCTTGCTTGGTTTTTTTTGTTTTGTTATAGTCTGAGAGACTTAAACTTCTCATTCAAACAGCCATTTTCTTAGTTCTAGCCTTCTTTTGACACCAGAAAAATAAAATTCTTTCTTGAACAACATCTCCATCTTTTCTGGTCTTTGCTATCACTGCAGCCTTCTTTCTCTCTAAATTGAGGTAGGCTCTGTACTTTGTCTTTGTCATTAAAAATGCTTTTTTAAAATGTCTTTTCCCTGGCCTCCCTGGTGGCGCAGCGGTTGAGCGCCTGCTTGCGAAGCTGCCGGCAGCCTCTGCAGCGCCCGTTCGATCCCTGGCTGCTCCCCAGCCACTGGAGGAGGGTCCCGCATGGTGTGCAGACCTCTCCTGCCGCCCGCTGCTCCCCTCAACAGTGTACTTTGGTCCTTCTGCCTGCTCTGCTCCCTGCTCTGGCTCTGGTGAATTCGCTCACCCTCCCGCGCTTCTGACTGTACCCAGTGCTTGTATAAATAAATTAATAAATAAATCTTAAAAAATAAAATAAAATAAAATATCTTTTCCCACTTTGAGAAGACTTTAATTTTCTCCTGGGTCATAGGTTTCTCTGTTTTTTCACTTCTCGTTTCCAGTTTCAGTTCTAACTCCTCTAGTCACTCTGCTCATCTTTAGTAAATCCTTGTAGTTGCCCATAGTTATCTTGTCCTAGGTAACTCCTGGTCTACTGGTACTCCATTTAAAATGTTCCAGACCCTCTTTGTATTGGAATACATTAGCACTTCTCATATGTATTCTTTTGAAAGGGACTTTCTTATTTGCCCCATATTTAGTGCAAAGCCAAGCACATAGTACATGCTTAGAAGAGGTAAGTCGATTTTGAGTTCTACTTCCAAGGTGTACATATCAAAAAAATTAAGACAAGTTAGTCCTTTCTTCTTGTGTGAGTCCTAATAACAGTCTCTGTTGTTAGAATGTGAAGAATAGGCCTCACTATATGTGGGTAGAAGTATTACAATAATTTAGTTTCAGGACTCCCTGGTAGCTCAAGGGGTTAAGCGTTAACACTGTGAAGCAATCCACAGCTACTGCAGCACAAGTTCCATCCTCAACCAGGGAGGTGACCCACATGGCGCAGCAGACCTCTCCTGTCTTGCCCACTGCTCCCCTCAGCAGTGTATTTCAGTCAGTCTGCTGATTCTGTTCCCTGCTCTGTCTCTCGTGAATCCTCTTACCCCCGACACCTCTGGCTTGCACCCCAGCTCTTGTATGCAATAAATAAATAAATCTTTTTTATTTTTTTTTATAGAGGCATGTTTTATTTATTTATTTGTTTGTTTGTTCGGGTTTTTTGTTTATACATGCACTGGGTACAGTCAGAAGCGCGGGAGGGTGAGAGAATTCACCAGAGCCAGAGCGGGGAGCAGAGCAGGCCGAAGGACCGAAGTACACTGCTGAGGGGAGCAGCGGGCGGCAGGAGAGGTCTGCGCGCCATGTGGGACCCTCCTTCGGTGGCCGGGGAGCAGCTGGGGATCGAACCGGCACCGCAGAGGCCGCGGGCAGCTTCGCAACCCAGCGCTCAACCTCTGCGCCACCGGGGAGGCCCAAATAAATCTTTTTTAAAAAAAAATTTAGTTGCACATTTTGAAATGAATTTCATTAGAAGATAGTCCCTAAATAGTTATTCCAGTTGATGTACAGGAAATTATTCTGTGGCACCTTTCACTCAGCCTGCTGATGATTTAGTGTCACTGCTTGCTTCATTTTTGAGAAGAAACACGTTCAAGGAGATCTCACAAAGTCAAGATGAGAAAAGGCCTCCTGACACACTCTGTGTTCTTTCCTTTTTATCAGCACTTTCCAAACCTTTCACTTCCTGGAGAGCCTTCTCTGTGATGTACCTGCCCAATAACCTCCTGCGTGCCCCCAGAACTTCAATTTTAAACCCTAATTTTATCTTCCAGAATGCATCTATTAGATAAGTGATTTTACTGTATGTTGGATAATCAAAAACAAGAACAGCAAAGTAGACTTTCTGATCAGCACAAACTAAAGAATTGATACAATGTTGGCAAAGAAAGCCTTTGTGGGTGGGGAGGAAATGGACATATTACATAAAGTTTTAGGAAATAATAAAAATGGTTTGCAGACTGGCATTAATACTTTCTGAACACCTTAAATGTCTAAGGAAGCCTGGGAGCAATGAGAATCACGAACCATTGCTCTTTAACCTGCTGCCTTAAAACTTAAAATATAAGTTATTTGAATGACTAAAAAGGGAATGCCAGGCCTCCACTGGTGGCACAGCGGTTGAGCACTGGGCTGTGAAGCTGCCCGCAGCCTCTGCAGCACCGGTTAGATCACCGGCCACCTGCAAGGGTCCCACATGGCTCACAGACCTCTCCTGCCACGCCCGCTGCTCCCCTCAGCAGTGTATTTCGTCAGTCTGCCTGTTCTGTTGCCCGCTCTGGCTCTGGTGAATTCTCTCACCCTCCCGCGCTTTTGACTGTACCCAGTGCTTGTATAAATAAATAAATAAATCTTAAAAAAAAAAAGAGAGAGAGAGAATGCCTATGTTTAAAAGTCAGTGTGTTGAATTGATGCCTTTATTTCTTTTGCTTTTTGCACATAGATTGAATATGAAAGAAAAAAGAAAGAAGATGGAAAACGAGCTCGAGCTGATAAACAACATGTTTTAGACATACTATTTTCAGCTTTTGAAAAACATCAATACTACAATCTTAAGGACTTGGTGGACATCACAAAGCAGCCTGTGGTATGTAGATGCTCTCACTGGTCCTTTAAATATGTCCTGCTTCATTAACATGGCTTTACTGAAGAGAAATGTATCATATATAATTATACATGCACTTATGCTGATGTTAGCTTTTATTTCAGCACTCACAAAGGATGTCTTGATGCAGCCATATTTTTTTTTTTACAACAGCAGCCTCATTATTTTAGGCTTCAAGTATATTTAATCAGTAGTTAATTCCATATGAAGAAAAGGAGGATTTATGTTCCTCTTGATTAATCCTTGATGTTAAGCCTGAATTCTTTGCTTTTATTATTTCTAGTCTTTCTTTTGTACCCCTAGCTCCTTCCCAAAAACCTCAACTTGTTTTGTTTTGTTTTGTTTTGTTTTGTTTTTTTTTGAAGATGTGCCTCATAGAAGAATCACATTCTTTTAGGAGTCTTATATTCTATCATGGTGAGAATGTTTATCCCTATCTTACAGGCTGTGCCCTCTGGAATTTTTTTTTTTTTTTTTTTAGTCAGAGTCTGTCTATTAGCATTAGGTCCCCTTAAACTTGAGCTATACTTCCTTACAGAAATGTGGTTGTGGTTGTATTGTCCTAGTCTCCGTTTTTAAGAAAAATATAATCGATATTTTTATACATTTATGTTTATTCTATAAATAATCCTTTTTATCCTTTTCCAGACTTTTGTGCCTATTTGCTAATAATTTGCATTTCTAATCCACTCAACATGCTGATAACAAGGGATCCAAATCCTTTTTCTAACCTCTAAGTCATATTTCCTTCCATTTAACTTTTTCACATCTAATATCTCAAGATACAAAAATTGAATTATAAGAGTATTTACTTATAGGTTAAAAAATTAAAAGGAGACCCTTATTTTCTGTCATTCTGTCTAATTTCCTTTCTCATTTTATCAACTTTCATTTGTCAAATGAATTCTAACTGTTCCATTCATTTGATTTAAAATATGTAAAAGATAACCAATTTTAAAAACACTTTACATTACCAAATAACTGTTTACTAAAGAGCTTGGTATATTTTTTCCTAACTTATTCAGAGCATGAGAAAATGATTTATGAAACTTCAATGTTGACTATACAGTTTCTCACTCCTGCAGAGATTTCTTTACTGTTACACTTTGGCCTTTCAGTTTTTCATTAAGAAATTAAATTCCAAAAGATTATTTTTTAAATAGTGAGGTCATGCTGCACTATTATCAATTCATTTTAATGACCTCACTCCCTTAAGCATCAAAGCCTTTAAAGCAGCATTCCAAGCTATATAAAAAAATTGAAATAGCATAATTTATTAGCTAAGCTGTTTTTCTGATTTTAATGAAGTTTCTCCTTGTATGGTATGTGTATATATATGAATGAAAAGGTCATTCCAGAAACTCAGAATGCACACAATATAACTTCATGAAATATCACACAAAACAATTAGATATGGGAAAATAAGCATTTGTAGAGGGATTTTCAGATGATACTGGGGAAAGCAATTTCTAGCCTTAACATGGAATGGCATTTTTTTTTTAAGTTTGGTTCATTTTACACCGAAAAAGGGGGTTGCTACTATTTCTCTCAGCTTTGGTTATTCAGATTTTTGTGTGGTGGTACTCAGAGAATCTCTTAAAATAGATTTTCTTAATTTATGGTCAGTAGATGAATTTTAAGGGAGTCCAGTATTTTCCTGAGTATAAGCAAAAAAAAAAATGCATTTTTTTTCAGGAACCAGACCCATAGTTTATGTCAGATTCTCATAGAGGACCTGGGAACCCTAGAGCTTGAAAACCACTGATCTAGAAACGAAATTATTTTTAATAATGTTATAATTTAGAGACTAAATTGCCTCAGCAAGCACAGGTTTCTTAAAAGCAGTGTTGCAATATATTAGTCCCATCTTGTACACACTATAGCACATGCATAATAGATATTCCAAAATTTGGGGTGGGTTGAATTGGAAAAAAGGAAATAGCTCATCTTCAGTATCCAAGGACCACCGGGTTTTTCTCAGATTTTGACAGGCCTCATGTCATTTATGATGGAGGTGGGGAACAAAGAGCCAGTCTTGAGAAAGTGAGGGGATGCCTTCACCACACTGAAGGTAGGCCAGAGCTACAGCTGTCCTTGCCTACAGGAGAGGGCAGGAAGTGGTCGGGATGGATTCTGATCCCGCCATTTACCTCAGTGGGCTCTGAGGAAATTACTTCATTTGAGGGAGTTGCACTAAGTTATGTTTGTCATACCTTCCAGCTCTAAGCCTGTGATTCTGTCCCTCTCCTATATCTTCTCCTCTTCTCTCTCCCTCCTCTCACATTTGAACTGATTTGCCTAGGGAAAAAGTAACCAAAGCACTCATCTCCTGATCATGTAAATAACTATCCCCTTTGGTTCATAGGATATAAATGAGTATATACTAATGGTCTTTAGTATACCCTTATTAATTTCATTTTAGTCTAAGAAATACCAAGAGAATAAAAGAACCCAGTGTAGCATGAAGATCAGTGATCCAGGAAAGGGCTTCCTGATATGATGGAAAGAGCATTAGATTTGGAATAAGGGGGTGACAATTTAAGACCCATCCCTGCCTTTGGCCAAATAGTTCTAGACAAAGAGCTTAAATACATTTAATGTTTAATACATTATTTATTCAATATTTAATGTACTTAACATGACATAATATAAAAATTTACCAATATATTCAAATTAAATGTTTATAATATTATAAAATTATAGGTAAATGTTTGGAATAATACCTAGTTTACAGAATCCTTGTAACATTAATGTTTATGAAAGGTATATTATTAACTATAGTATTTTACTGATATTATTTGCATTATTATTAACCAGATTGTTTAGCCCTGCAAAAAGGAAGAAATCAGCTCTTTGATAAATGCATTTAAATGACCTGTCATTTTCTGATTGCCCTCAAGGCCTCTTTTGACATGTCTTACCATGAAGTGTATCACTTTAACACATCCTCTTTGTTTCTAACACTACTCCTTTATTCCTAAATTACCATCTGCTTTCTGACCTTTAGAATCTCATTTTTTATATATTCTAAGTGGATCTGAAGTATTTTCTTGTTTTTTTTTTTTTTTTCAGTTTCCTTCCATTCTGTATTCTCTTCCTAAAAACCTTCACTCTAGAAGCAAAATTATTGATTAGAAAAACTGTCCTTAGGACCAGTATTTTTCTCTAATTCACCAGTGTGTGACTCGCATGTGCAATCAAAGAGGTAGAATTACTCATCAAGGCAAATAAGCCCTTTAAAAGGCCAACCTCTGGTAACTAATGTAAAGTCAGACTACAAGTATCCATTTACAGGAGCGTTTCATACCGTTTAAGTTAAGGAAATTTTCCCCCCCCCCCCGCTAATGTCAAATGTTCAAGGAAGCCTATTATTTCTCCTCTGGCAGTCTTTGATCTTTCGCCTTGAATGTGTGATGTCTACTTTTTAGTCATGCTTTCTTATATCTAAAATAGAAGCATATGCAGCATTTCCTTCAAAAATACAAACCATTAGAAAGTTTATCTAATTGCTCCCTTTGAAACACCAAACTGCGAATGTCACTTGGAGCCCTAATGTACTGTTCTCTGACATTCACCCATTTACCAGTGTTCCTTTAGCCTTACATTTCTATTAAAAGTGTCATTGAAAATCAGTTCTGCTAATAAGTAAACACCCTAATTTCTTTGTGCTTTATCCACCCAATTTTCAGGTCAAGATTTAGGGAAATCTACCTTTACTTAGAGGATCTCTTCTAAACCAGCAGTCTCTAATCATGTCAAATCAGTGGAGCATTTTTAAAAATCAGAATATGTAATTGAACAATTTGCATGGCTTTTAGTAAAGTCAGTTCAAGTCAATGGGAAAATCTAGGCAAAGATTTATGTGGCTTTGATTTTTGAAGCAATTTGGTGCCCATATTTCAAGTTTCCCAGCTGTATACTGATAGACATTTATTTGCTGCATTGAAAAGCCAATGCAGGGCCTCCCCGGTGGCGCCACGGTTGAGCGCTGGATTGCAAAGCTGCCCGCAGCCTCTGCAGTGCCAGTTCAATCCTCGCCCCCAGCGAGGGTCAGCGCACAGACCTCTCCTGTCACCCGCTGCTCCCCTCAGCAGTGTACTTCTATCCTTCTGCCTGCTCTGCTCCCCGCTCTGGCTCTGATGAATTCTCTCACCCTCCTGCACTTCTGACTGTACCCAGTGCTTGTATAAATAAATAAATAAATCTTTAAAAAAAAAAAAAGAAAGAAAGAAAAGCCAAGGCCACAGTTAGATGATGTTAACCTAATCCTCAGAATTTGTTTCCAGACAGGCCTAAGGAAAGGCTTGAATAGAAGCAAAATTTGGCATCAATAAAATGTAAGAAAATACATGTTTTCAAAGGATAAGATGGCTAGAGAATTTGACATACTGAGCATTTCTTCTGCCAAAAAATAAAATTTTATTTACATTATGAGCTATTATAGATCTGTGAATTGGTTAAGATTCTTTAAGTTTGCAGGGAATAGAAACTCAACTCAGACTGGCTTAAACAAAAATAGAATTTATGGTTCACATAGCTGAGAAGTTAAAGAATGCATCTAGCTTTAGTCATAGCCAGATCCTGCTACTAATATTATTTAGTTAGAACTATTTCATCTCATCTGTCCACATCTCTCATCATCATTCTATCCTCCTTGTGTTTTGTCTTTATTTTTAGACAGCATCTTGCCCTGTGGTTGCCAGAATGGCTCCCTGAAGCCCTTCACAGATCCTAACCCTAAGCAAAAAGAGAATGTGTGTCCAGATTATTCAGTGAAGTCTCCAGGGAAGATTTAATAGACCTACTAAGGTTGATACTCATTCCTTAACCAAGAGGATAGAGCAGGGGTATTATACCAGCCAAAAGCTATTGCTTCTCCCACTTTTGTGACACACTGCCTGGTAGCAGTGTGCTTCTAATTGGTAGCATCTAATCAGTGTTGTTTGTTATCTCAAATTTTAATATGTTCAGAACAGGGATTT